CTGGGCAGCAGGGTCGCGTGGACGGCAAGATGTTGGAGCCACTGAGCTAGGAGGGGATGAGAGTTTCCGATTTGGTGAATTCCGTCGTTTAGTCTTTCCTTCTTTCTTGCAGCGGGAGTTGGACCCGTTGGAATAAGAGTTATGCACGTGTGCCACCCAAAGTTTTTCTTATTGCGTGACTTTTCAATTGTTTCAAGTTGGTGTTCCAACTTTTAAAAAAATTACATTGAAATGGTAGAATGATGTCAATTTATAATTTATGAAAAATTACATATACCTATACATAATTTTTTTTTCTTTCAGCGGTGTAAATTTTAAATGTTTAAATTTTTTTATTTACCTATATATGGAAAACAATTTAGCGGTGTCAATTGAAACCACACCTCAAAGGGTGGCTCCATCCCTGGCTCCATTATCTCCAGCCTGTAAATATAACTTCATCTGTTTTCCCTCACCCTTGTTTTTATTAGCAGGATTACCTAAGTATTTTTCTGAATGATTCTTGAATTTTTTGAACCATTTACATTAGCATCAACACCAAAAGTTTTCTTTCAAAACTTACATTCATCCCTAAGAGATCCTTCTTCCAAACCCTGGCTCCATTATCTCCAGCCTGTAAATATAACTTCATCTGTTTTCCCTCACCCTTGTTTTTATTAGCAGGATTACCTAAGTATTTTCTGAATGATTCTTGAATTTTTTGAACCATTAACATTAGAATCAACACCAAAAGTTTTATTTCAAAACTTACATTCATCCCTAAGAGATCCTTCTTCCAAATACTCGATGAAATCAGACCATTATCCCTTTCTCCCTCCACAAGCTTTTTCCCTGGAGGCAGCCCTTTCTGCAAATCAGCAAGATCGGTTTCACTTGCTGCATGAGACAATATTGAGTTATGTTATTCAGAGAAATACAACCGTCTTTTGGAGGTAGAGTTCTCCATCTATACATGCCAAAATCAATCAAACAGATCACAAGCATATTTCAAAGTATATTAGTTCTGAAAATTAAAGTCTGTAATAGACTTATATTACCCCTTACAAATATGCAAGTGTTTCATTTCACAATATCACTGATGTATTCTCGTTTCAATTCTAGTATATATGGAGTACTATGGTTTTAGCAAAAAGTAATTATTCAATCCAACATAAACTTCAAATGTTAGCAAGTGTACAGTCAATTTTATAACATGAAGAAGAACAGAAGAAGTGACGTCAAGTTCACGAATGTATAAAGATGATTAAAAGTCAAGATGAGTGATTGACGAATGAGGTGTATCAGTGTATGGAATAGAGAAACGAAGAGGAAGATGAGAGGATTACATGTAGACTGTGATCTCTTGTCAATCTAAGACAAAACTAATCCGTAAATATAATCACAAATGATGCGGACTGAAGCATACTGAGAAATAATTTAACGCGTCACCGGTCTGGACCTGGTTTTTCCGGGTTTGACTCGAATCAAATCGGATCCCGAAATCTTAAAATTATAAGGACCGAACCCCGGACCAGTTTATCCTGGTATGGTCCGGATTGGTCCATTCTGGTCCGGTGCAGGTCTAAAATACAGTCCGACTCGATCAATGCACACCACTAGTTGTTCGTGTGGGCTCTAACCTGTCCCATTTTCAACATCCTATATGTAAACACTCGAGCGGCTGATATAAGAACTATACACAAGGACCTTATCGTTGTCATTGGTTGAAGAGGCACAGCATGTAATCTTTAATTTTTAAGTCAAATACCTTAGATTAACATTCCACCCTTTTTTTCTTACTTTTTACATTTATTTACTAATGAACTCATACTCATATTTGAATTGGAAGCAGACTGGAGACTGTTGTTCTGTGGACTTAGAACTATGCAACAACATATAATACAACTCATTTGGGCTTGATTTTACATCAATGAGTGCCAACGTTTTTCATATATTGTTTTCTTTGATTATTTTGGGGCTCTGCCAATTTCTATTCTTTCAACTGATATTACACTCATAGAAGCATAAGTACAATGTGCATTGTTCTGAATCTTTTTCTTCCTCACTTTCTTTCTCTAAGAAGAAGGGAGTGAATATGACAACACCTGTATCAAAATCAAACTCGAGATCCTTATTGATTTGAATAAGCTTTGGAATTGTGATATCTTCCTCCAATGGCGGGGCCGACATTTTTGTTAGCTCTATTGTGTAAATAGGCAAATGTACGTTGTTTCTACTTATTGCCCACATTTGTAATTTTTTGAGTAGCTTATAATTGAAATGGAAGTTATTGCTGGAAGATGTACTAGTTGAAGAATATGCCAGTTTTAGAACATGGTGTTGTTTATATATGGATGCGATTTTTTTTTGTAACCCCCTTCAAGTTTTGGAATGAACATAAGGTGTAATATGAAACATTAGAACTATGTTCTGTATACTAATATTCGATTGTAGCTTTATGAAGCTAGTAAGTTATATTTGTGTAAACTGAATGGTAAAAATAGTATTCCATGTAAATTGAAGGGTAAACTTTATCCTTGTTTATTAATTCTTGTGCCCAACACCATGTTGCAGTCTATTTGGAAAAGAAGGATAGTATAATTTAAATTAGTAGCTTTAGGGCTTCTTTGTTATAGTTGCAAGTTTTGAATAGTAAGGCGAACAACTATCGATGATAGAGACAATAGTTTGTTAACATGATTGCTTATTTGATAATATTTTGATCAACGGATTATGGAGGAAAAGCTAAACTCAATAAAAAAACATTTATTTCAAAAAATAATTAGAATAGTTTTTTATTAAATTCAGTTAAAGCATAAAATTCAAGCATCATAAAAACAAAAATAGTAAAAGCAAATCAAGTCCGGCCGGTTTACCCCACTAGAGGTATCAATCTATGGTGTAAAGTTGCGATGCGAAACTCTCTACCTCAACAATCTCATCACACCACAAGAATGCAATTAGTAGAATTTCAAAAATGAGTGCGAAACACAGTTGCTTAATATTTTGGTAAACTAATTGTGGAAAAAGCTAGCCTCAAAAACTTTTTTAAAATGAAAATATTTATTTAAAAAGTTATTAGAATAATTCCTATTCAATTCAAGCTAGGGCTGGGAAAAAACTCCCGACTCCCGATCCCGATCCTGCCAATCCCAATCCCGATAATCCCGATCCCGACAATCTCGATCCCGACTAGTCGGGAATTTTTCCCGATCCCGACTAAGTCGGGACGGGACCAAGATTTTTTCAAAAAAAAGTCGGGATCGGGAAAATCCCGACATCCCGACATTATACACACACATGTATAGAATTATATATGAATATATAAAAATGAATATACATTCATAAAAAATGAATATGTATCTAAATAATTTCATATCTTTTTTATTTACTTATTCCTTACATAAATTAATCTTTTACTACGAGTATCTTACAATATCAAACTTCTAAAACTATTCGGCATTTGTCCCAAAATGAATATTCGGGATCCTAACTAAATAGAGATTATTCTTGATCCCGACAATCTAAATCACAACAATATTACAAATTTTGCAGTTCTGATATAAATAGAGATTATTCTTGATCCCTTTAAAAATCATGATCGAGACTAAGATTTTTTTTCTTTAGTGAATAATCATAATATGTATTTATACATTATATTCATTGGTCACAAAGTTTATGAATGAGTCTACTTAGTTTTGAATTTTAAATAATATACGTTACACATCCTTCTTTTAGTGATTTTTATATAATGTTTGATGTAAGTTTCACTAAGCCTTGATAGCTTATTCAAAAATTATACTATTAATTAATTGAAGTTACAAATAAAAATTATTCTAAAAGTATGTACTAGTGTGAATTTGTGATGATAATTATTACAATAAATTTTATAAGTAGATGATGATAAATATGGTTTAACAATGAACAAAGAATAATCTTGAAACCATTAAATATCAAAATTAGTGTTTAACTAAAGAAATTACATAATTTTATGTTTGACACTTCATTGTCGGGATTTAGCGGGATTAAGCGGGATTCCCGATCCGGATCCCGACTTAATCAGGATTTTAATGTCGGGATCCCGACTTAATCGGGACGGGATACGGGATCCTCTTGTAGTTTGACTCGGGATCGGGATCGGGATTTGGGCAATCGGGATCGGGATCATCCCGATCCCACCCCTAATTCAAGCTAGAGATACCCCAACAAAGACATCAATTTATGGTGGGTACACACTTCAAAATCTTTCTCATAGACAATAGTTACTCTCAAGTTAGTTTAGAATAAAAAATTATGTGTCAATAAAATACGTTACATATACTCCATCCGTTCTTTATTATTAGTGCTCCATTCCATTTTGGGCTGATTTTTTTATTTGTCCTCCTTTCCATTTAAGGAAAGTTTTACAATTAATATACCTTTATACCCCACTTTTATTATCATTATCCCTTTCTCTTTCCTACTTTTTCATTTACCCACTACCCATTACACTTTTTACACTACCCCTATTACTTTCCTCTTAAAACTCGTGCCAAAGCCTGGACTAATATTAAAGAACAGAGGGAGTATATACATTATTGATAGTCTCAAATTGATAGTCTCATTTCTCTTTTTGGAAAGAAAGATGTGATCTACATTATTTCACTTTTTTCTACTCAAATCTCAACCACAACTTTACTTTTTCAACCACTTCCTTAATCTTTGAGCCCAAAAGAAATGAGACTCTCATTTTGGGACGGAGGTAGTATAAAATATGCCTATCACATTAATAGGTTTTTGAACACAAAAATAAAAGTACATGCAACAGGTTTATGCAACCGTAATGTACAGAAATCAGAAATCAACTGTTAGCATTCAACCTACGATCTAATTTACTAGAGAATAATTATCAGTCACCCAATTTGATGCAACATGTATAAAAATATACTAAAATAAAGTGTGTGTAAATGTCATTTTTCAATTTACTTGAAGAAGATACTGTTTTGTTGTGATGATAAAAAAATTCAGGCCCAATTTGGGGAGGAAACTAGCAGAGGCAGCCCGGAACATTTCGGGAAAAGGGGCCATGGAAATCTTATCGTGCCATTTGTTTACAGCGAGTAAAGCGAGATGAGGATTGGTGGGGCCCGCCTACTCCCATCCCATTCCTTGACGAAGCGTCGGAGCCTTTTATTATATCGTCCTCCCAGTTTACTTCTCTTGTAACCCTTTCTCCCGATTCCTAGACCAGTCCAGGAAGAAACCTTCTCTCACTTTTCCTGTTCTCTTCAGCCATGTCTCAGGTAATTACTGATTCTATGAATTCAAATCAATCAAAAGTTCATTAATCATTATCAATCAAATCTCATCGTTTTCGTTTTCCTGTAATATGATTATTACTGGCTGAAGCATCAGATAGCTTACCTGGAGCTAGACTATTCAATTGGGTTATGACATGATTTAAACTAATATGGGCTTGATAGTACTAATCAGTTTAAGTTTGCTTATAGTTTTGTTGGTTATTATGTTCGAGGATTGAAAGTTTTGATAAATTTCTCTAGCTGATTAAGTAAGATTTTGATTCCCCGTTTGACATCTTTTTTTTGTTTGGTTTCAGGAAGGGAAAAAATTGGTGACTCAAAAAGGTGGCCCGTGATCTCCTTCCCTTAATACTTCATATATGAGCTTAACTATATTTTTGTGTGTTCCATTGTTGTTGAAATCAAGATAATTGATTTAGTATCTTGATGGATTTGAATTGATCTGTAATTTATACAAAATTAGTAAATGATTTGGTGGGAATGAAGCATTCTGCCAAGGTGTTGAACATATACTGTTTTTCTCATTTTATATTATACAGCATCTGTTTTCACATACTCTTTAAAGATAAAAGCAAGCAAGCATTTTAATTAGTCTGTATTAATGGTTTTTATTAACAAAGAAGTGACTTTTATGTATTACTCTGTACATTATTGATATATAGTAACCATAATTTGAGTTTAATGGATGATCCATTTGTATCTATGGGAAAGAAAATACTGAGATTATAAAATCCCGGTGAAAAAATAAATTGGAGGATCAAATTTGTACTAATGAATAAGAGAATCTTGTATTCAGCTTACTTCATCTGTATGGTATGTTTGTTAATTCTTATTGGGTTTGGTTTAACACTAGACTGGCTAGTCACTCACTGCAAGTAATATTACTCATTTGGTTGTTTCCCAGACCTGTTCATCTTTCCTGATCCTTTTTCTCATGTACAGTTGAGAGAATGTGGGCTTAGTTTAGTGATCAAGTGATTCTTACTAAATTTTCAGATGACAAATCTGGAGCAGCTGATAGTAAAGGGCTTTCGGAATCTGCTGCTTTACCTGGAATGCCCAATCCTTTTGATTTCTCAGCCATGTCTGGCCTCCTTAATGTAAACGCTTACTACCTACATTTGTTTAACAAAAAATTTCATTTACTAATTTGCTCACTTTAAATTATTACCCACACTGTCACATTCTCTTTGTCCCATCATTTCTTTTTTCTTCGTCCTAGTTAATATGTCCCATGCATACTTGGTAATAATTGTATGGTCAAATTCATTCACTGTATAAACTCAATAAAACCCACTTCCCCTAATATGCTTTCCACTTTCTCATGTCCGAAAGATAGTTGAACGAAGGCAGTAACTTCTAATCCCACTAATCAGAATTTCATTATACTCGAGCAATAGTGTAGTATCACTGTCATGATGCAATTTATCTTTTCAGAATTGATGGTGTGGTTTCTTGTAATGTACTGTTAGTGAGTAAATGAAATTGGATGTGTTGCTATTGTGCTAATATGTTTTGTTTTCTTAGTTCTTGTTAATGGAAAACCTCTATTCTATTTGACTATTTCTTCTTGAATGTTTGAAATGTAGGATCCAAGCATTAAAGAACTAGCTGAGCAGATAGCAAAAGACCCTTCGTTTAATCAGATGGCACAGCAACTTCAAGATACATTTCAACATGGTGCCGCTGAAGATGGAATCCCTCAATTTGATCCTCAACAATACTATTCCACCATGCAGCAAGTTATGCAAAACCCTCAGTTTATGACAATGGCTGAGCGGCTTGGTAACGCACTGATGCAGGTTCGTGGCCCTATATGTTTTCTGGATTTATGATGCCATTGTTTTGTTATCATGGAAGAAAAACTGACTTTTTTTCATGAACTTTGCAGGACCCTTCCATGTCCAGTATGCTTGATAATTTGTCAAATCCTACACAGAAAGACCAACTTGAAGAACGAATGGCACGTGTCAGAGATGATCCTTCTCTGAAACCTATTCTCGAAGAAATAGAGCGTGGGGGACCAGCAGCAATGATGAGGTAATAGTCAGCGTCTTAATCCCAAGTAGCTTGGCTCAGTTGCATAAATTTTATAGTGCCAATTAAATGTATAGAATTAATTAACATTGTAAATTCATGAAAAAACATAGCAGTGATGTTTCACTGATGAATGCACTTCCTGTTGCAATCTTTGTAAGAAGGATCAGTGCTATAGAAATTCTAAAACCGTCATCGTCATCATATGTTATTATAGTATTACCGCATACATGGAAAATGCTCATTAGATGACTAGGAGTTGTGGTATTTGCCATTATCATGCCCATTGCATAAAGCAGTTCTCCGTTTGCTAAAAATACCATCTTTGAATAGGAAAGAAGTTATGGTAACTTATCACACAAATATGCAATTTTATATTTTAAGGTACTGGAACGACAAAGATGTGCTGAAGAAGTTGGGTGAAGCAATGGGTTTCCCTGTTGGAGGAGAGGCAGCCACATCTGGTGAAACAGGCGCAGATGAAGTAGAAGAATCAAATGAAGATGAATCAATTGTTCATAACTGTGCAAGTGTCGGTGATGACGAGGTGAGGTTTTGGGTATTTTTTTTTTTTTAACTCTGAATAAATCACATGTAAATCTCTAACCCTTTGCTTGGGCGGGATGAAATAGGGTTGAAGTATATGTTCGATCCTGGATTTGTGTAACCTTATAAACCATTATATAAGTTAGGTTTGGTTGGGGTTTGATTATTTGTTTAACAATCATGATTAAGGGTAACTTGTTAAGAATAGTTTTGGTTCCATTTATACACCTCAATGTTTTCCAAGTTCCAATCCGGTTTGGTCTGAAAGCGTGTTGAAGTATTCACTCCACACGAGATTGGTATAGCATAATAAGCCACTATATAAGTTTTTGAGCTACTCCTGTTAGGTTGACCTTTGTGGATATAACTTCAAGTCTTAATAAATAGAAAAGAGAAAGAAAGATGTAGAATAGGAGAAAACCGTAAAAGATGAGAGAAATGAATGGGACCAAATTTATTTATTTTTCTTCCCAAGGAAACTGGAGATATATGCATCTTTTCTACCCATTTCTTCTACATTCCTGTCCTACCAACAACATATAAGATCTACCCTATTTCTTCACGATTCTCTTCCCTCCCTTTTCCTCCCAATTCTCTCGTCTGTGTTTCTTCACTGAACCAAACAACGACTAGAAGTTTTATGATTGACTTTTCCTCAGTTCCGTGCTTTAATTTTCTTGATCCTGACCCAAATTCTCTGGTGGCTCTTTTCTTGTAAATCAAAGCTAGGTTCTGTAGATATAATGGCTTGTTTGTTTTCAGGGCTTGAGGAATGCTCTTGCTGCTGGTGCTGACAAAGATGAAGAAGATTCAGAGGGAAGGACAGGATTGCATTTTGCTTGTGGATATGGGGAGGTTAGTGAGTTCAAAGCTTTTATTTTTATAAATTATGTCCATCTTTTGAAGTTTTAGTCAATCTTTTATGCATTTAGAAATTAGGAATTCTATGTTCTCTTGTTTTTCTAGGGATTCATCCAACTAACATTCTTATAACAAATATAATTGTAATTTGTAAAGTTGTCTTTTTCTTTTCATTGTTGCTGTGGAGCAATATCTCTGTGGGTCGCTTGCCTCGAACCTTTTCAACAGGTGTCGCTCCTTGTGTAATACAAACAACAACATCCCAGCCTTAATCCCAAAAGACTTTGGGATTAGATACCATGAATCGATATATAGTATCATAGTTAAAAATAGTAGATGTATAATAAACAGGGGAGACAAAGCTCCTTGTTTATACTAATGATAATAAATACGTAGAAATATGATCACTTAAAAAGGAAACAGCATGTCTTGAATTTTAGTACATGTATTTGTGGGCATTAGTGTAAATTATAATTTGGAGTGGGTAATATAGATAAGAAAACAACTGTGTGTTCCATGGCCCCAAATGAAGACAGGGAACCTTTCGCCTTATAAACTTCTTAAAAAGATGAAAAACTTGACAGAATTATTATGCTTTGAAAAAATGGTGAAGGGGAATTGTGAAAAGATGAGAAACTTAAAATGGGAAATGGATATTTTTCTCATTCTACAAATATTTCCTTAGTAACTTAGCTATTTTTAATTATAATACAAGACCAATGTGATTGAATATAAGAATGGAGGCTACATTGAACAGTTATCAAGATTACGGACCACGGTAATAAGTTGCGTGCAGCAATACGTGTTGCGGTTTGCAGCACAACCGCATCAACCTGCAATATCGGTGTTTTTTTAAATTCACGGCCAAAACCACAAGATAACCAATGTTCGAAATTGCGTATTGCGTAATCATGGCGGTTTTTTAAAATTGCATATTGCGTAAGCCTCATTGCGCAATGAGGCGTATAGCTGAGGCATAAGTGTGTGTGTGTGTGTGTGTGTATAACAAAAAACATTATTCAAGAGAAACCAGCAAATGCAATACTAAAACAAATCATAATGTTGTAACAATCTTAGGAAAAATAATCCAGAATAATAAAAAAAATGTCTGAAACGTCATAAAATATTATAAAACTGAAAAATATGTTGATAAGTTTTGGTCTTAATCGAACTATATACTGTAAATAAACTATAGAGCTGAGTACAAACTATTGGTCCTGTTGAAAGCAAACTACAATAACTGAAACTATTCGTCTCGTTGAAAGCAAACATAATAAATGAAAATAGTAGCAGTACAAACTACAAACTACAAAGGTCAAGTTATCATTATATTTAAATATATAATCACTGAAAGAACATACATTGTAATATTGGTCCTGTTGAAAGCTGAAAGTTAACAGCAGGAAAATCATAAAGTATTCAAAGGCAGAAAATTAATTTTTTAATATTTAGTATTAAATTCAATAGACACAAAAACTAAGCATCAAACAGAGAAAAGAAGTTGTACCGTTGAACTGAAGAAGACGACCAAACGAAAGCTGTAGAAGTGGCAAGCAGGAAGAGCCGTAGAAGGCGCAATATTAAAAGTTGATCAAAGAACTATTAGAAGGCGCAGGAAGAACTGTAGAAGGAACTAATATTATACTACGTATTTAGAAGCGGCAAGCCGGAAGAACCAATAACACATATATAGCTAATAGCCTAAGATAACGAACTAATATCGCAAACCCCCTTACTTTGTAGGTCATATTTCACAAAAAGTGGGCCCAGTGGGCCAAATAACAATTACACAGCTAACCTATTTATCGTACGCCATGACCACGCCTTATTGCGTAAGTTAAATTGCGTACGCCTCTACGCAATAAACGTACGCATCAGTCCTGACCGCCATGTGCAATGCAATTTCACGCCATACCTTCGGAATTAACCAAGGCGCGCCATGAGGCGCTATTGCATTGCGCAATTGCAAACGTTGAAGATAACTGCATCGGGCTGCACTAGGTCGCATCGGGACCGCAACTCTAACTTAATTTTTTTCTTATTTCGTTCGAATGTAAAGTTGTTTCACACTGCATCACAGCAGCCGCAAGACACAACCGCATCTGCAATTTAAAACCATGATAAGGACCTTCTTATACTATAACATTTACCAAGGGCTTATTTTGGCAGTGGAGCTTTGTTGATTGTTTGTTTCTAAAAGTAGTTGAGAGAAAAGTAAAATATAAGACTTCTGGATAAATTGAGAGGAAGACCCCCATCTTAAGAAATGATATGGTGTCTGTTAAGTGTCTCTATATGGACCATTAAGCATATGGACTCAAATGTATCACTGCATGTATTTGGCTGTAAATAATACAATGTCCAGAATTGGGAATGCTAATGATGTGTACCAAACATGGAAAATGGTACGTAGTATTAAAGAATGAAAAAAATTAAAAGGCTAGAAAAAACAGTCTCGCGTTTGGTTTTCTTTTGAAAATATGATTAGAATAAAATGAGATTAAAACTTCACATATGAATAAATAATATAGTTTGAAAAATATATAAAATGGGTTTATTGACTTTGATTCTTTTGTGTTTTAATTTTTCCACCTTAAATTTTCTTTATTTAGAGCCTGTTAGCTTCAATTATTCGATAGAGGTTAATCTGCCGCGCTTCATAATAAATACAAATACAGGTAAAGTGTGCTCAAATTCTTCTTGAAGCTGGGGCGAAGGTGGATGCTTTAGACAAGAACAAGAACACGGCTCTTCATTATGCTGCTGGGTATGGTAGAAAGGAGTGTGTTTCTCTTTTGCTAGAGAATGGTGCTGCTGTGTAAGTCATTTCCCTTCTCCATCGACATTTTTTTGCCATCATATATGTATACGCGTACAGTTTTTTTCCTCCTTTCAATCTTTCACCTTTTGGCTTTATCATGTGGTGACAGCACCCTTCAAAACATGGACGGGAAGACACCAATAGAGGTGGCAAAACTTAATAATCAGCAAGACGTCCTAAAGCTCCTTGAGAAGGATGCATTTCTATAAGCAAGATGGAAGGCACCATTTAGTACAACGTACACCGAGTTGTCATGTAACTCTCTCTTTTGGGAATTTGTGGCGTATGATTAATACATTGTGGTTTGCATACTATCACATATACTTCGTATATCTTTATTATGACCCTTTTAATTTTGTGAGTGAATGTTGTGTGTATAATTAACAATACAGCCCCCTTCATTCTTTTCTTAGATACCGAGTGCTTTTGAGCAAAGAGGGGCAGCTATTGTATTTCAATAAATTTAATTCTACAAATGAACTAACAACCATAGGGTAGAGATGCTCATTGATTCCAATAGGGTAATGAGATGCCCATTGATTCCAATGTATGGTTAATGAGGTTTTGGTTCAGGTCTGCCCTAATTAGGTTATGCTTAATGTTTTATTACTCCCCTCCTGATTCTTAGAACGGATATTTGTAATCAAATGAAAGGTGTTAGGTGTATTTTAGAAATGAAATAAAGGATAGGCGATTTGGAGTTGGTGGTGTGGCTCACCTAGTTGAGGAAGGTCTTGCTTTTCTGATAGTGGTGGACTCGGGTCGGGCCACCCGTCCCGTGGACCGGCCTGGCCCGCTACTGTGCGGGACTGGCCCGGCCCGCTACTGTGCGGGACCGGCCCGGTTCTTGGGTCCGGGCTCGGGTCTCACATTTAGTGAACGGCCCGGCCGGGCCCGGGTCCGGGCCAAATTGATTTTTTTTTTCCTTTTTTTGGGGTTCCACCTCGGTTGGACTTGATGGTTAGGAGGGGTTTGTGGGGGGGGTGAGGGGGGGTTAGGAAAGCAAAAAGAAATACCCAAACTGTAGGCCCGGACCGGATCTGGACCCGGTTTTGATCCAGAATTTGACTTTTTGAGTAGGCCCATATTCACTTGTGTCAACTGTCAAGTAGGCTCATAAGGCTACTCGCAAGTCGCAACCCTGGGTGAAAAAAACATATTAGGGCTTTTCACATCAAAAAACATCTCCAACCCAAAATAAGTAAGGGTGCTAAAGCCTAAAGTTAGGGGTGGATTCGGGCCGGGTCCGGGTCGGGCCTAGGCCCGAATGGGCCGGCGGTTTAGAATTGGTGGACCCGAGACCGGTCCGGGTAGCCACCGGGTCCGGGCCTTAGTTTTTTTTTTTTTTTTTTTTTTTTTTTTTTTGCTTTCCTAATCCTCCCCCCCCCCCCCTCCCCCCAAACCCCTCCTAACCATCAAGCCCAACCCGGGTGGAACCCCAAAAAATTAAAAAAAAATCAATTTGGCCCGGGCCCGACACGGCCGGGCCGGTTCGCCAAATGTAAGACCCGCCCCGGACCCGCCCCGGACCCGCCCCGGACCCGAGAACCGGGCCGGTCCCGCACAGTAGCGGGCCAGGCCGGTCCACGGGCCGGGTGGCCTGACCCGAATCCACCCTACCTAAAGTGGGTTGGGGCACCCTTCAGGTGGGAATTCGTGGGCATATTGAAATGACAATATGTGGGGATATGTAAAAGTATAATCCCATTTTTATTTAAAGTCATAACTTTTTATTTGTACTCAATTTTTATAAAAATTATATCAAATTTATAACGTTTTATTATCTACATCAAAATAGGTTTTTAGACCAAAAAATTTTCTTATATAGATTCAGGTTCTAAAATATAGATCTTACTGTTAAAATATTATTTATAAATCTTTCAATTATTTTTTAAAAGATGAGTCTAAAATTAAAAAAAATCCAAATTTATTTATTTTTACATCGTCATGTTTGACTTTTATTATTCATAATTATTTCAAAAAACAATTGCAAAATTAGTTACAAACCTTTGTTGGGTGAATATATTGATGATGCTGAATTGTAGTGAAAACTAATTTGATTGAGTGAATATGTATAAATTGATAGAAAATTTGATTTATTGACGGGGTAGATTGCGATTATACGTATAAGTGTGAGAAATCTCACACAAATTCCCAAATTTGAGAAAGCATGGACACCATCGACCACCCAAAGCTTTCGAGATATATGTTCAGAGAATGAAATTGAGCTTTAATTTCAATCTTGCTGATAAAGTGTGGATTACACACCTATTACTTAAAGGAGTCCTATGAACAAACTCTAGGGTAGTTGATTGGAATTAAGGGGTTTACCATTTTTGTTATGCACTTGATCAATTGATGAGTAATGCACTAATGCATGTCTGTAATCTTCTTTTCCGTTTAAAAATAGTTACTTGGGAAAAGGTGCAAATGACCTTAATGTTTATCTGCGAGCTAGTAATGGTATATCCAAAAATTGGCAACTTCAAATAAAATTTCTGAGTTGATATAGTTTTCCATTTTTAGGAAAAAATATTAATTAGATAATTTTTAATTTATTAAATTATGTCAATGAAAATTGAATTACATGAGGGCCGGTGAATTATGTAATTACAAATAACTTAAAAGGGAGATGAATTTATATGATGTGTTTGCCAGAATATGGTTTCAAATATTTTATAAATTACTTATTAAATTGAAATTCTTGAAGTTCAAACCGTCATCCATATTTAAAACAAATTTAGGTGTTCGACAGAATTTAAAAAAATCGATTAATGACTTCAGTGTAAAAAAGAAGTAATATAAAAAATAATTTTGTCAAATATGGTACGTGATCCATATTTAAAACAAATGTGACAAAATTATGTTTTCATTTCCATTCTCCTTAGCTTCTCAATATGCTAATGAATTTTTAGATGTGTTTAAAATATAATGTACGGGAGTATTCATTTTAGAATTTGATACAGAGTATTGTTAATAAGGGCACACTTTCCCTTCACTGTAAAAAACTAGAAGTACTTTTACACTGAAAAACATTTTGCAGTTGTTTGTACTTGTTGATCTACACTTTAACATTTGCATAATTTTCCATTATATTTTTAATGTGAATGTAAGTCTGGGAAGGTGGTTCCTTCCTTCCTTCCTTGGGGTTTTCACTTGTTTGGATTTCACTGTTGTACTGTATTTGCTATTTCTAGGCTTGTCTTCTGAAGTGCATTTTGAGTATTGACAGTAAAAAATATGGCCAGTTCTACGCTACAGTGATATGATGATATCTATCCAGTAAATGAAGGTATAAGATTTTGTAAATTTTAGATTTTTACTGGCTTAGATTCGAGTGTCTTCTCATGCCTCCTCGTGAGTTGTAAGAAGTCCGTTTTTGGTGGTTATGGTTTCTTCTTCTTTTCGCCCTAACACCAATTTAATTTTCACATTGAACAAGTAAAGAAGAGTTATGGACATATGGTATTATGTTTGGTTGCTGAACAACTGAAAATATTATTCGATTGAAGACTTACGTTACGTAGTAAGGAGTAATAATTATTCGAATGTTGAGTTACACGGTTTTGGGAGAAAGATAAATTATAATAGGACAATTACAAGATAACATAATTATGGTAAGATCCACTGATCCAGAGCCATTTGATACACTGATATTGAATGAATCGACTGATACTATTGAAATCAATGAACTTTTGGTTGAAACGTCTCAATGAGCTAAATCAGATGAATGATGCAAAAATTATATTTTAAATATTTTATGTACTTTAAAAAAAAAACATGTGAAGAAATAGTTACAATGATCTTCAACAATAACTTCAACCGTTTCAACTAAAAAGTAACTTTAACCATATTTATTTTGTTATTACACAATTCAGCGCGAGAAAATCAAAAGATATGTGGTTCAGTATAAAAGTTGATATATAAGGTGAATGATACATACTTGACATGAGAGAGATAGACACATAAAAATTTATAAATAGAATATCCTCTCCTTATTGGAATGGTCTTATATGCTTTTGATAAGTTTTTATTCACATTATCAAATGCAATGTGTAGGTCTAGACATTATGGTTGACATTATTGAGAAAAATTTATCAAAAACACATAAGAATGTGAAAAGGAGAAAAAAATGTCATAATTCATTTATTCTTTTGTGTCTATTTCCCTCATGCCATATACGATAGTATATATCATGCACATTGCAACATTAAAAATGTTCTAGTACTCCACACTAGCTAGGCCCACTAGCTGTATTGATTGAGGTCTTTCCTTAACTATTACTGAAGTAGACCATATGGATTAAAACGTGATAAAAAATACTACTTCCTCTGTTCCAATTATCTCATGTTTTGACTTGACACACATATTAAGGAAGTGAAAAATGTTTGACCTAAAATTGTTTAGAGTGAGAAAATGTAGACAAATGTCGTAAACTATACATTCTTTGCCAAAAAGAAAAAGAAGAGTTTATATTGGGAACGAATGAAAAAGGAAAGAATAAAGATAATATTGGGACGAGAACTACTACGTATGAAGGTATTCTTGTGGTCCCTTAGTATACAATTGAACACAAGCATGATAATTAAAGTTACTACTATAATCACTAAATGATAAAAATTACATTTCTATCGACGACCTTTATTTAATTAGTCATATATTTATGATTATTCCTATACTTAATTTGAACTTTAAAGTATTTAACAATAAGTCCTAGAAATTATTCTCTAATAATGAGTGGTAACTATTCTTTTCATTTGATGTGAATGTGTTTCTGAACCTATATTTTCTCTATTCTTATAGTATCTGCTCTGTTAAATGCCAACATTTTAGACTGTCGTGGTTTCGAACATGTGACCTCCAGTTTGGAAGTGTCATAGTGATGTCATTGAACCACAAAATGTTTGGCTGAATTTGAATCCATTATTCACTTACTTTAGCATAATATGTCTTACCATTTAAATCGTTCACCTAGAGGTGTCGCATAATCATCAACAAACTACTAGTTCAAAGTCAAGTAGCCATCTGTTAACTACCAAAGTACCTATTAATGTCAATCTTTTGATAGAATTTCACAATTCAAGAAATCATCCCTTAAGAAAGACAAGAGATTTATCCTATTTCCATTACGAGCCGGGCATTGCAACTCCGATCATCTAAATCAGTAGATTGGTTTGCGCCGGCCGGATCGGATCTAGAAACCCAAGGAGGACCGTAGTGGTGTAGTACTAAACTAAATACTACTCCCTCCGTCCCTAAATAAACTTCCAACTTTCCTTTTTCGCCCGTCCCAATTAAAACTTCCACTTTCCCTTTTTGGTAAAGAATTTGTGATTCACAACAATTCTTACACATTTCTCTCTTCTGCACAACTCTCCATCACACAATACCTACTATCTTAAACTGTGTGCCAAAGCTTATTGGAAGTTTTATTAGGGAAGGAGGGAGTACATAGTACTTACTCCATATATTACAGCACACATTAGCAAGTAGACTAAATATAGAAAATGAAAAAAATTAAACTTAAAATTGAAAAAAAACAAAGTTCTTCTTCTTTGCGCACCACA